TATTTGACTGTGAAAAAACGATCATAGAAGTGAATTGCTTGGTTGTTGAGATAGAGTCACCACAATATCCCCCTGAAAGTAACAATCAGTGGCTATAAACAAAGCACATGCTTCTTGGATAATATATAATGTGATTAATGGCAAGACTAATAATCCTTACATTTGGTACAGCACCGTTCACGTCGGAAGGAGGTCTCAAATTGCTTCACAGGATATTTGGTTTTGAAGAGAAAAGATATTGCGAAAAGAACAGTAACATCTGACTGCCATCAAATAATCAGATCACAAGAGTGAATTGGGTGAAGAAAGCTCTTTGACGCATTCTTCCACATGCTACTATCCTTCTACTACAGTATCCAGCAGGGTCACCTATTGCAAATGTACTATTGCAAAGTTACAATCACTTCTGATGTACACGATACAAGCTTCAATCAGGATTATTATGACCTTGCTACTCAGTTTCACTGCCATTAAGTCTAACAGTGAACTTACTTGGCCAATGCCACAGGTCCATTTGATACAAGGAGCTTTCTGAGCACAAAGCTGGTAACAAGGCTTCCATTGTGTTGTGCTCACAAATGAAATAGCAACTTTAGCTTCAACCTGCTTGCTCAAGGAGAAGTGCAATATTTCTGCATGAAAAGGGAAGATGCTAACCTGGCTGAATCAGTAGACTCTTGCCTCCGAATCAAAAAGTTGTGGGTTCAAGCCTCACATCAGGACTTCGAGCTCATGGTCTTCCTCAATACTTCAGTGCACTGCTGGGGAATGCTAAATAGTCAGAAGTGCTGCCCTTTGGATAAGACATTAAACTGGTGACCTGTCTATTGGATGTTAAAGATCCCACAACTCTACTTTAGTAGAGAAGGCAGTTTCTCCAGGTGTCCTGGCCAACAATCCCCCAGATTGAATTGAATCATTCACTTCTGGTTGTGGGACATTGCTGTGTGAAAATTGATTGATACATTTACCTGCAAAATACCCGGTCACTTGCCATATCAAATGTCATTTTTATTTATATTCTACGCAGCCAGAATTTCAACCTCCCTAATATTAAACAATAGCACATCGAGTCAATAGCATAGCATAAAATTGCTTTGACCAGTTGTATTAAGCGACAACATTTATATGGCATCTTTCACGCAGGAAACTATCTTAAAGAACTACCAGAGATGGAGAGGAAGATTGCGGATGTAGGGAGAGTTTGAGAGAGTAAGAGCAAAGTGGCTGAAGGTTTACTTACATTGGAGGGGTGAGATACATAATAATAATCCTTGCATTGATATAGCGCCTTATCACATCTTTGAGAAGTCTCAAAAGTGCTTCACACAATATATTGTGAAGTGAATTAACTATGTTTTGTGGGCAAAACACAGAAGCCAATTGCACACAACAGTGTCCCACAAACAGTCATGGATTGAATGACCAAATTATTATAATTTTTTTGGAGGGATTATTATCCCTGGAAAAGCGATCTGCCAATCAACTAACAACCAGGTTCCTACTCGCTGCTAGGTTAACAGAGGCAGGTGGAGTAAATAAATTTATCTAAGGTTTCACCCTGCCCAGGAATCGAACCAAGGTCCTCTCACTTGTGAGGCGAGTGCTCTAACCAATACATAAAGACTCCATAAATGGAATAGTATACATAGAATAGGCTTGATTTGGCAGAGCTGAAAATGGGTAGGGGAATAGGGCCACAGAAGATCACAGATGTAGAGTGGACAAGGGTGCAGAGAATTTGAAAATTAAATGAGTATCTTAGAAATCAATCCACTAGGGAATAGGGAGTGAGTGGAGCCTGATGAGGGTGATGGGTGTGTCGAGCATGATATGGGAAAGGGTACGGGCAATCAAATTCTGATCTGGAGCTCATTGAGGGTTGAACTCTGAATGCCAGTGAGGAGGGGTTCAGTTGTGATAGGGTGCAGAACAGATGAAGGTAGATTGTGCAGCACAAATGGAAGAAAGTGGACTTGGTCAAGTGCCGATGAAAGGTTTAAAGGAATGCTGAGGTCAAACAAAACCTTTGAGGTTGTACACTGGCACTGTGTGAGCTGGGGTGAGATTGGAACAGAATTTGATAAGGTTGGAACCAGGGATTAGGAGGGGTTGTAAGGAACCAGACAGGATAGCTTTATTTTTGTCAATATTCAGCTGTAGGAAATTAAGACAGTCTGTCAGGAGTGGTCCTGGAGTCATAAGTGTCATCCACATACATGGGAAAGGACTCCATGTCTGCAGATGCCATCAGCCAAGGAGAGGCATGTAGATGAGGATGAGAGGAGAATCAAGGATAAAGAACCCTGATGAACGTTGCAAATGACTGTGCCATGGCATGAAGAGAAGCCATTAGAGGAGACATAGTGAAGATGTGGGATAGGTAGAAGTGGAACCAAAGAAAATGTGAAGCTGCACAGATGTACCAGGAAGGAAAGATGGCCAATAGTATCAAGGCTACAGAGAGATTCAGGAGGATGGAGAGGCACGGGGAACCCTGGCCATAGGGTTCACTGGTGATTTTGATCAGGAATGTCTTGGTGTTGTGAGATGGGATGGAAACCAGATGAGATGGATTTAAATGAGGAGAAATGGGAAAGCTTGGAGCATAGCTGGGAGGTAGCAACAGATTCCAGCACCATGGAGAGGAGAGTCAGGGTTGAGATGAGGACGATAACTTGGAGGGATCATTATGTGCAGAAGTCTCTCCAAGCAAAGGCACTTTAATTAAATAATACTGATTTTTATCCTCTGATTCTACTCTTAGACATATGGTATTTGCAACTCAAACAGTCACTGCTATGATAGATGTGGAATGGAATGCATAATTTAAAGAGGCAGACTATTTGCTGTTCTTAGGTACACCATTTCTCAATCAAAAAAAGATAAGATTCCAATCATCCTGGCATCAGCTAGAACTATTTTTGGTCTATGCTTTTCAATCAAGTATACATCAACTTTTGCAGGTGTCCACGCCTGTCTTGTAACACATGATCATACATCGATACCATCTTGTGTGAATTAAATTTTTATTACTCCCATTCCATTTAATACTTGGGTCCAAAGCTTCATCTTTTCCTGTCGTCCTGTGATTACGTCTCTTAGCACCCCCCAACCCTAACTCTATTCCTTTGAGTTTCCGAGCTCCACATTTCCATCGCCCATGTGCCTTCTGGAATGTAATCCAGTTCTATTGGCTTTGCTGAAGAGTGGGTTGGGATTCCATTGCCATGGTCAATAAAACAAAAGGCCTGAAATTTCACCTAGTCTTAGCCTGTTGGACAATTCCCTTGTAAAGTTTACAATTGCAGAATCATGGAAAATACATAATTTGGAAACTGTAACAACTGTGTAAAATTGGCTTTCAAATTATGAATTTAATTTTAAGACAGAATGGAATTACAGGCCAAGACTACGCAGAATATTGAGCCTGTAGTGGTGTGTGTGCGTGTGGGGGGGGGGGGGGGGTTAGTGGAGGGTGCTAACTCAGCTTCTCTAGCATCTAATGACAGGCTGTCCTTGCTCAATGGTAGAACATGAATTAACCCTTGTTTAAACTGAAGCTGTGCTACTTGATGGAAGCTTTCAATGAGGTGTTTCGTATTTATCAAGAAGCGGATGTAGGCGGATGACACCCAACTCTACCTCTCTGCCTCCACCTTTGACTCCAGGATCACTGCTGTCTTGACAGAATGTCTGTCAGACATCAAGTCCTGGATGAGAGCTAACTTTCTTCAGTTGAACGTGAAAAAGAACGAGGCCCTCCTGATTGGCTCCCGTCAGCACCTCCTCACCTCAGGCGCTGACAGCATCACTATCCACAGTTGCACACTCCACCTTACTAAGCCAGTCTGGCACCTTGGGGTCTTGTTTGACGCTCAACTATACTTTCTACCTCACATCTGTGCCATGACCCGCTGTGCCTTCCCCCACCTCCGCAACATCGCCCTTCTCAGCCACTGTCTCACACCACAGGCCGCCGAAACCCTCATACATGTGTTCGTTACATCCAGGCTCGACTACACAAACTCCCTGCTTGTCGGCATTCCCAACTCCTCCCTCCATAGGCTGCAAATCATCCAGAACGCTGCAGCCTGTCCCCTCTCCTGCATCAGGCTCTGCAACCTAAACCCCCATCCTCGCCCGACTCCACTGGCTTCCCATCACATAGAGAATAGTTCAAGATCCTGGTCCTCACCTTCAGGGTAGGGGTAGAAAGGCTGAAGGCCAGCCGCCGATGCTAGGGCAGCCAGGGCGGGGGACATGGAGCATTCGAAACACAGGGAAATTTCCATGTGTAAGTTGCATAGATATGCATCAGACACCCACTGGCCAAAAACATCCTCCATTGGATGATGAACAAAAAGGGTAAGAATTTATTCTGTAACACGATCATCATACATCTTGGTCAGCCAACTCCAAAAGGGCCAATTTTTGGACAATCCACATTCTTTACGAAGACCGACAAAATTAATCAACTTTTAATTCTTTGAGTCTTTCCAAGACCAAGTAAATTAACCTCTTGGATTGTTTCCAACCCTACAACTCCTCTCAATTTGCAAAGCAAATTTAAAGCGAAGAAATTACAGAAGTGCCCAGTAGATTGTGTGCATCTTCAGAAACAAAAAAAATTCTATGTATAGTGCGTCCACAAAGTCTTCTTACCCACTGTCACAAACAACGATAGAAGTTCAGAGAAACTGAAACAAGTTGTCAAGAGATGGATTTCCCCATGTCACTCAATTATGTTACCGAACATGGCAACGGAATGAGAGCGCTCACACCGATCTTCTGGATGTTTAAATACAGTTAAACATTTGTATTGAATATAATTAAGTTTTTTTAAATACATTTATCATCATTCTTCCACATGTTTCAGATGTTGGTCAGTGCACGGTGGCGAAAAAAATGGGGGTAACAGGACTTTGTAGACACCATGTACTTTTACTGAATTAACTTTGAAGGAACATTGTAGAATCTTAACTAATAAGGAAAAATGAGACCATTAATGAGACTTTATTGATTCATTTAGAAACATAAAGGCAGATCCTAGCACTGAGGATAAGTATCAATATGTGAAAAAACAACAAAATGGCTTGGAATATAATGCAATAGTACCTTCCTTCCACAAGCACAGATGTTGAATGTGTTTTATGTTTAGACCTGCAATATGCTGCATACAAAAACTGTTATAACCTTGTTAAGACTGAAAGTTACGAATATTACCAGTCATGCTACAAATACACCAGCCGATTTCACTACACACATAATCCAACATTTCATAGTTAGGATTAGCATTCACAGGGCAGTTGTTTTACATTAAAAACGGCACATGCCTCCAAATTCCATTTAATCAATATTCACTGGGTTTACTGGAGGGCTCAGCAATTAAAAGGTTAAACTGTTTGTGAATTTCAATACTATCACACACACACAGCCAAGTCAGAAAGCAAAGTGACACCACCTGTGGGACATGATAACCGCTATAGAATAAGCGTGTTGTTTTGGTTTGATTTAAAGTGATGATGACAGGATAGTTCTATAGCAGCAGAACAACACAACTATCCAACAGCTGGATTCCCAGGTGTTCATGAACAGCACAAAATCTGTACAAAGTCACGTTTCCATTGCTCCCTTTAAAGCTTGCTGTAATCACTTGCACATGGACTGCATAAAGTGGGCCTCCTCTTTATTCCCTCTCTCCCTCCCACCATCCCAGAAATAATATCAAATATAAAAGAACTAAAGGTAAAATAAAACACCAAATATTAACGGAATCTGAAATCTGTTAGACCCAATGTCAACAGCTAAACAAAATTTAAAGTTAATAGACAACTAAACAACCCCCAGTAATTAAATATTAAAAAAAATAAGTAATGTTAGACGGCAAGCCCCCTAATTATTAAATTGTTGAGATTGGAAATTTACTACGTCAAATACCCACTGAAATGTTAAGCTGTTCTCTGCTCATCTGGGGTTGGGGAAACCAACGATTAAAACAAGGGAATACAAAATTAAAACCGTGTCAAAGAAAAACAGAAACCATTAAAAAAAACAGCACCTCCACACATCCCAATACATACTGAAGCTCATAAAGATTCGTGCAGAAAAGTTTGCAGCTTAAGAAAGAGAGCAGGTTCCTGACAAACACTACTAATGTTGCTGGAACCCTTGCTGTGTGGTCCCCTGCTATTAATTAAAGAACTGTTGTGTGCTGTTTCGCTGGCCCATTTAGGCCTTCTCCAAGGACTTGTAGTATTCAATCAGGACAGCCCAAGCCGTTTCAGCCATGAAGCCTGTTGGTGGGTTTTCACCTTCCTGAGCCAGTTTACGCATTCGGGTTCCCGAGATGAAGTCAAAATTTTCATGGCTTTAAACCGGAAAACACAAGCATTTTGAAACAACAAAAAGACTAATTAATGGCGCAGTAATAAAATGTATCTGGTTTGTATTTATACCAGATTTAGGATTTACTTATTACACAGCATTTTTTAAAAAAAGGCAGTCTGCACTTTATATTAAATTGTAGACATGGGGAATATTGTGAGCTTGCGTAACAAAGCAATGAAAATAGCAACAGGTCTTTAAGGCTAATTCAGTACTGCCCTTTTATGTATGATGAGATCACAACCCTCATAAAATAACTTTTCATATCACCCCCACTCACTCAGTTCCACTGGCTCCCCCATCCCTCAGTGGATCAAATCCCAGATCCTCCTTCTCATCATCAAATCCCTCCAATCTTGCCCCCACCCTATCTCTCTTCAACCTTACTGAAGCGCCTGTTTCACGTCCCCCACACTATCTGCCGCACAATTGACCGACGGGCTTTCAGCCGCTCAGAGTGAGCGACTTCATACTTGCTTCCTAGATCTGCTCATGTCACTCCAAAACAGGCCACAATGGGGTCAAAAGATCGGCCCTCCAATTTTCCTTTGCAGAGTGATCCTGCTAAGATTGTGAGCTCAATGGCAAGACAGGAATCAGCAGAAGTGTCCCAACACTCCACTCCAGTGTGATGCTGGAATATACCAAATGGGGAAATGTTTGCAATCCCTACATTTCATACTTACTGTTCGGGGTCATAATAGTCCATCGCCTTCTTCGTCTTATTATAAGCAGCAACGCGGAATGGAACAATTTCTAGTGACAGAAGGCCTGGGGCCATGGTCAGCACTTTAGCTCCGTGTGTTGGTTCATACAGATCCTTCTTGGTCTCAGGATGAGGCATTCCCGCAGGGTCACGACCCACAATGTAGAAGTTAGCCCCTGCAATCATGCGGGATCTACAGTGCCATTGGACCTGCAACATTCAGACAGCAGGAATAAAGCGCTCAGTAAATCAGCACATCTGATTGACAAATTTGTAGTTTGAATCAAAACACTTCCATACACGGCATGATGGAACTGACTTCTCATTTCACGTGTAAAAGTACTATTATTTCCTTATATTATTAACCAGGAACCTACCTGTCAAGCCGGGCATTTTATGAAATGGTAGACAGATCATTTATTTGAATGCAGTCAGTAAATCCACCATGGCAGGGTAGCCAGGATCCAAAAGTAATGCAGCCTGTGCTGGTGTTGAAGCATCCAATTTCAGGCACATATAGCAACTGAATAAATGGTCCACATCTCTCCTATTAATGGTATATCTTTTGTATATAGTAAACCTCATATAAGTCACATCAGTTGGCACCATACATTTAATATGACTTACGCAAAGTATGAGTTATGTCAAACTTGCATACAATATAAACTCTTGAGCATGACTTGGGCAGACGTATGATTTAGGAGGTTATATGTTTTATACAGATCAGACTCATGCATGTTTTACTGTAGGTAGCTTACAGACATCCCAGAACACTAGATGTACTCAGAATTGTTGTGCGTTTATATTATGATTTTGGCAATATTCACAGTGAATGTACAGTATAATTCAACAGTGAACCAAATTCAACGCCAATCACAATGCCGTCTGGTGAGGAGGTGGCTTCGACCAGTAGAAGTGCAGCATTAGTGTTTATGCCAAAAACAGCTCAATCGTGGAGGCACTTAAAACATCTTGATGCCTTTTCTCTGGCGGCCTTCTCAATTGCATTGTGAATTTTCTACAGAGTTGCTCTGCAGGCGTGAAATGTCCTGTTCTCAGTACGCCGGTTTGTAGTAACAGACGATAAGCATGCCAGACCAATCCATCATCTGCATAGACTACCAATCCAGGATGTGAATGCTGCCAAACCCGCACGTTTGGCAGCCTCAGGAAGATTTCGCCACAAACTATTCTAGAATTGGTGGATTCAAAATATATTTTTATATATATATATACACACAAAACATATGAATTTGATTAGTCCCAAATCTATACCTGAATACCTGCAGTATTATTGTTATGGCAAAGGGAATGTGTTGTTGTGCCCACTGCAACAATAGTTCACATGGGTTACCGTCACTTTATGGCTTGACAGGGATAGGCCTTTATTCTAGATCTTGATGCCTGTACTGGAATTGCAATGGTTGCTCACTCTTAAACAGGGCAACAGAGTTTGAATTCCATTTTGCATGAAATCGCAAGCATGTGCTCCACACAGACATAAGCACTTCCATTGGTATCACTATGTCTTTTCCATCCCTGATCCCTCATATGGAATGATCCACATCAGTATTTTATTGATTTGAAATTGGTAGAAAATCACTTACAGCAGATCACAGCTAAGACTAATTTGGCAAATGCATTCCTTTCCTGTGCATCTATCTTTTTGGGTAAGCTAAAAAAAAACACAGTTCTTTAGAAAAGTACTGTGGTAACTCACGGCTACTGGAAAAGTATACCCTGTAAATGTTTGATGACCTAATTAATTGGTTTTATATCTTTCAACTAAGAGGGACCTTGATAAATAAATCTAAGATGACACTCCAATGTAGTGCTGGGAGTGTGCTGCTTTGTTGAAGGTGCTGTCCTTCGTATGAGACGTCAGTCTGTTTGTCTAGATGGATGTTAAAGATCCCATAGTACTATTCAAAAAGAGAAGGGAGCTTCTCCCAGTGTCCTGGCCAACAAAATTGGTAATTTATTTCATGGCTGTTTGTGCTCTCCAAGACTATATAAATGCAAGGTGTTGTTGCTGTGGGACATTGCCGTGCACAAATTGGATGACATATTCACCTGTACACACAGTCACTACACTTTACTGTAAATCCTATGAAACACTTTGAGATATCCTCCTGACATGAAAGGCATTGTATCAAATGTAAGGATCGCCATATGTAAGGATCAAAGAGGAAACTAAAAGTGGTGGCCCCTCATACATAGTCAAAGCTCCCATTTCTTTCTGATGTAGCCAAAGTGTTGCACGTGGTTCCTCCTTCACTGCTGTCAACTGGAACTAGAGAGACCAACTGGGGGTCACAGCCTCTGGTCTCCTCTGATTTCCAAGCTAATCTGAATTCCGTTCTTAACAGAGAACAGGTTAGCAGGCTGCTCAGTAGATAAGATCACGTGACTAGTTACTGAAAGGGCACAGTAAAATAACGTTTAAGGGAAAGCTGGAAATTTGAATTAAAACGTACACAAGCCGAATAACCCCCGTCTTGCTGAAAATATCTGTTTTTATGTCCATCTTCAATGAACAACCAAGAAAGTCATAATTGCAATCAAGAGTCCGGGTGTACCCATCCTAATTAGACTAACACATTTACAGTGCACTATTTATTATGACAATACGTGAGATGAAGAAATTACAGGATACCAGCATAACTGAATCTTACCCTAGATTTGGTTTATAGTCCTATAAACATCTGAACAAGTAATAATAACCCGTGCATTTGATATAGTGCTTTATCAAGTCGCTGAGATGTCTCAAAGCGCTTCACATTATAGACTGTAAACTGGATTGACCGTATTTTTGTAGTCAGAGAGTCTTTAATAAAACACAAAGAAGAAAAAAGATTTAGGTAGGTATACTGTGAATCATAATTACTATGCATGTTTAATATTCTTAAATGATAATTTAAGTTAGCCAAGACTAGTTAGCCTAGTCTGTGAGCTCAAGGTCCCAACATGGGGCTCAAACCCACAGCTTTCTCATTAGATGTTATCAGGCAGAATATACTTTTTCAAGTGGGCCTCTATTATTTTCCTGATAAACATTTAATAATTTCATCGCAGTTACATTAAAATCTGTCATTTGCTCTCTTAGCTTCTTGTCTAAGGTTTAAAATTGCTGTTTTACTCCTTAAGTTACCAGACTGAACAAATAGAATTTGTTGCACTACGGGACATTACTTCAGATTTGCCCGGATAATCTAAGGACATTATTCTTCCTTCAAACTCACGGCTTCCATACCAGCCCCTTCTGTTTCAGGGGAAGAGCAGGCTTCAGGCAGAATGGCTCGCATAGACGAAGTCAAGATGTACATCAACAACAACGACGACTTCCATTTATATAGGGCCCTTCACAAAGGATAGCGTCTTGGAGCACACCATGGTCTTTTTGGCTGAGGCGAGAAGAATCCAACATTCTGATCCGTAATCGTGTTGCCTACAAACGGAAGCTTAACTACCTCAATTGACACAAGCACTACTCTGGAGTGTCAGCCTAGATTGTCAGTTCAAAATGCCAATGTGCGACTTGAACCCACAACCTTAGGACTCGGAGAAGTGAGTGGAACCAACCGAGCCAGGCTTTATGGCTAGTGAAAAAAGAAGCTGCACCTTACAATATCGGTCATCAGCATTTGTTAGAGGATACAAACCTCAACCTTCAAAGAGCTGTTGCATTTTAACAATCTTATTAAAGATTGAAGCCAAAGGCTGAAGATTCAAGCCTCACTTCGGGACTCGGAACTCATATCATTTAGATTGATACTCCAGTGCAGTGCTGGGGCTATGCTGCATTGTTGGAGGTGCCTTCGGATAAGACATTAAACCCAAGTCTCACTTGCCTGCTCTGGTTAACATTAAAAGATTAGGACATCCTCCCGTCGTGAAATACACTGCATAAATGTAATTTGTTGTTGTTGAGAAAGGAGTTTCTCTCAGTTTAGGGGATTGCTCTATGTAAAGTGGCTGCTGCATTCGCCTACAAATACACACTCATTATACTCCACAATATGGTGGGTAAATTGCTTTGAGACATTCTCCCCTATTATTTTGTGTTAGAACAACATTCACAATGATTGACACAAGTCTACCATTAGTTGCATTTTTGAAAAGTTTGTGTGCAATTATTTGGGCATTTTTATATCTGAGTGTTGGCATAACATCTTCATCTTCTATGCTTGAGTGGAGAAGAAATGTGAGGGAACAGTGTTTTTAATGGCATTATTTACTATTTATTGTGAACTTGCCATTTAACTTTAAAAGCTTTAATTTCCCTTCTTAAGAAGACTTTCACATATGCATTAAATGATATGCTTGTAAATTCTGGCAATCTGCCGTTTGTCCTTTCTGTTGTTTTTTTTACTAATATAAATGCCCATAACGGTTTGTGGTTTGGAGCTATTCTCCTGTGGCCTGATGCATAATAAAGCTTTATTGACCCCATGAGCGTGTGTGGAATGCTCTTGGACTTTCTCCTATTCAGAGCTTCTGTGCAGGAGAATGACAGAGCTGATAGGGCGACAGCAGACACACAGGAAGGAGGCTTAGCCCGACAAGACAAATTCTGAATGGAATAGTACATGCCCATGAGCTACTAAAATGCTGGTTCCCAGGCAGGGTGCAGTACTCTGTGCTATTGTCTTGGGAAACACCTCCCTGCATGGTTGCTAGGTTCAAGTCCCTCTGTAGTTCTGTTAGAGGGCCCCTTATATGCCAGGCTGCACCAGGTCCCATTTGCTAGACAGTTCTAGGGAAGATGTGTTTCTCCCCCAGAATATCAGAGCGACTAAAATGGTGCAAAAAAAGATAAACTGCCATTGAGTTGTTCACTGTTTGTGTACTGGAGTTTGCCCCGTTATTCTTTAGACCCTGGCTATATAAGCACATCTCCTGTTGATTGATTATGATTGCTGGGACTGACTGCAAAATAGGAGGTTAGCAAGAAAACACTCACACTGCCAGTTGAAGGGTAGTATACTGGAACAATCTGGATGCATTCTGGCAGATTTTCCCCGAGTTTACCCGCATCCTTTTATGCAATGCCTTGTGTAAATTACTGAAGTGCAATGGCATACCACATCTGGTCAGGCTTATGCCCACATACATAGCCTGAAGTCAACATTACAGTGGGATTTAGTCATCAAATTTTTTTGCGTGGGGGGGGTGGGGGTGGGATTGCAATGGACTGTGTTTCGCCCATTATCCAAAAATCTGAAATAAATTGCCGCAATCATAATACAAAAATTAATCTGGAACAGTTTATTTTCAGGGCGGGGGGGGTGGTAGGTGGAAGAAGAGAATCGACGGACTAAAAAGATTTGTATTCAGTATGGTGTACGTAGACAGAGCACTTAACATAACAGAGCAGAGCATTATATAAGCGTTTCTCACCAAGAACGTACATCATGGATCACTAACCGGAGAATTAGTGCTGCAATGCAATGTATTAAAAAGTTTTCCAAACTGCAGAGCTAGTTCTTTTTTATTGCAGCCAGGCAGAGTTCTCAAAATACACCAGTCATGTAGTTGCTGCAGATGATTATGGACAGCAACAGATTTTATACACTGTAATCTACTTAAATTATACTGAACTATATCTAAAAGTTTCAGTTTATAGAAGATCGCCGTATCAAAATGCAAGTAAAATAAAATATAGAAGTCTCCCCATCAAACACTTTTGGAAGCCAGACATTATAATTCTCCAGTGGATAGGCATAGTGCTGATGTAATCTTAAGACCATTTAATTATACTGCAGACAACTCCTTAAGGAAACTACTAGTTCAAAATGAAAATAAGACTCACCTCAGTTGGCCCAGCGTACATCATAGGAGATGGGAAAATAGCCACAACAGTAGACTCTGGATCAAGTATCTTCTCCTCCAGGACCGCAGCATGTTGCTTCATTCGCCATGTTAACGGTACATCATCATCTTTGGTCCATCCGCCCAGCGGGTGAAGTAGAAGCACTGGCTGTCTGTAACCCCGTTCAATCAGCTGCTTAAATGTGTCACGCATCAGCAGAGCATGACCATTGTGTACTGGGTTACGTAGTTGGAATGCGAACACGGCATCTAGATAAGAAAACAAATTAAGGTCAAACAATTTCACATAGTAATTAATTACATGATTACAAGGAATGACACAGCATGAAACTTGACATTCAACAGTTATAGTCCTTGCCAGTCTTTGTACTCCACATGAGCCTCAACCATTTCCCACTCTCTATTCCCTTTTTCCTCATGTTTGCAGCATGTTTTCTGCAATAGATTGTCACCCTGGCTCAGTTGGTACCACTCTCACCCCTGGGTCACAAAGTTACAGGTTCAAGCCCCAGCTCAGGACTTGAACTCACATAGTCTAAGTTGATACTCCAATGCAATGCTGGGGGTGTGCTGCATTGTTGGAGGTGCCATTTTTCAGAGACGATATTAAACCACCCTCTCTGCGTGACAGAGTTTCTCTTAACTCCCTATTGGATCTACTACTAGCTAACTTATGCACGCTAGTTATGGACCCACCAACAAGTGGAGATATGCTATCAACATCCACTTTCATAAATCTTTAACACCTCTATCAGGTCCCCTTATAATCATCTCAACTCTAGAGAGAAAACCAATTACCTTCCCAATCTTTCTCTACAGCTGTAAACACTTATCCCTGGTGACATCCTTGTAAATCTACATTGATGAAAATCCATTTTGAAAAGTTTTCACAGCTGGTCACTTAACACACAAATTCTCATCCAGCTCAGTTAACCAGGATTTTGCTTCATTTGGCAACTGAGGGTAAGAGTAAAGCCTCTGCCAATCACTTGACCTTTTGTACACAAAACTGTTCCAGCCCTCAGTTCCCAACTGGGAAAATTGAGGGATAATGGGATAATCCTTCGAAACACGACAGAACTTTTTTTTAGATTAGTAATAATAACGTTGGGAGACATCCTAAAGCGCTTCACAGGATAAACTGCAAAGTGCACTGATTGTGTATTTTGTGGGCAAATGGCCACAGAGAGTAAAAGACTGGTATGATGTGTGGAGCAAATCACCAGCACAGGTGGCTACAAAAAACTACAAACTGTTTCAAAAAGGAGTGGGAGAATTCCTATCAACTGCAAGGACTGACAGGTGCCCATATCCAGAGATCGGAACATTGCATGGGAAACTGGATGGGGAGGATATAATATTCTACTTCCTGAACTTCCCACTATATTTACTTGTTATAGTGGGGGTGCTTTGTATTGCACATCATCAGAGCCCTGTTAGAGCCTGGCTATCGCTTCAACACTCAAAAATACCCAATGAAAAACACTAAACCAAGTGCGGCAAAGTTAAGGAATGACTTCATTTTTATTATTTCTTTTTATAGAAAAGTCAAGATTCTGCAGTGTGTTCCGAGGCAGGAACTCATCTCAAGGTTGAGGTGATGTCGATAAACTGCGCAAGCTCTCGTGGTTTGACATCATCTCAGCCCCTTGTTGCGTTACAACTCTGTAACACACTCCAGACTGACTGGTATCCTGTAGTGAACACATATGGTTACCAGGTGAATGGTCTATCTGGACTCAGAAATCAGCAGGCATATAAACACATCAAGAATGTGAGCCAATTGTCCAAGGAGGTAAAATCTTTCCATTTACCAAAAGCAAGTTATTGTTGAATCTACAAGAGTCACCATTGCGCTCATTTTCCTGTTAAGTGAGCGAGTGTCTGCGCAGCTCAAATGTTTACAAAAGCCTGCAAGATCTCTCCGGAATCTGATATGTAGTGGTAATATAGCGCTCTGGGACGCTACCCCATGCGAAGGGCGCTATACCGCTATACAAATGCAAGCTGTGGTTATTTAGCACCATATCATGCCGTTTAATCATATCAAACCCCTTTGAACGTGGTAACCAACTGGGATCAACTATTCGTTTCAGCCAAGTGCGTTTGCAGAGCTTTCCTCAACAAATTGTTGTGAGCTGGAAAACGTCACCAGTTATAATTCTCACAGAGTTGACAAAGACGGTCAATGGGTGTCAGTCAAGACCAAGGCCGGCTTTGGACATGACTCTCTGCCACCACCAACTCTGTCATGTCGATGGGCAACAACATTAAATAGAAAGCCAGCAAACACCTTACCAGCTTAACTCCCATCTTTTAGTTAAGTTAAGCCAATAACTTGCTACCCAGCACTCCAATGCTGGGACCCTTTGTCATCCAAGTTCAATGCCTCAGGCTCAGTCATTGTGATGGCTACTGAGAGTGATGGCAGGGAGGGAGGGGTTTGAAAGGGGGTCTAATTCATGAGGTAACGATTGGCAAAGTTATGTCAATTATCATTTATCACAAATCACAATTGTTACCTCAAAAGGAGTATCAGTGCCCCAGCCATTCAGTCTATTCATTGGAGTCATAAAGAAAGGAAAAACAGCAATAAAGCCAATCATAGAGAAACAGTAAAGGAACCAAAGTTGTTGACTTTCATACAAATACAGTACTAATATCTAAGACTACCTTCCTTTCAAGCTCGGTTAAGGTTAGACTACATGTTGACTTGCCATTATTCCTTGCGACCTGAAGCAGATGGAAATGCTTTCAAAAGATGCAAGGTTCCATGTGTAGCAACGACAGAATCAGTATTTATGCACTTTTTTTGGAGGATACTACACATACTACAAGAATTCTATTACCAAATTGGAAAACATATACTGGCTTAAGTAAAACGTAGAAACTACCCTATATTAAAGACAAATCGTAGACAGGGCAAAGCCTGTGTGGGAAATGAGGGGGGAAAACAACAATAAGAAGCAGTAGAAGAGAAGAAACTGTTAGAGCCAATAAAGTCAATAATCAGACTCTGAAAATACAGACAGTACACTTTATAGTATATCCTGTTGAAGATCTTTGAAACATCCCCTGTTGTGACAGGTACTATACCAAATGTAAGGATTATTATTACAACATTGTTTCAACATTTCTTTCTGACTTTGAACCCATCTGTATAGATAATTCTGCTTCAATTTTGCTTTTTGTCTTCTTTTCTCATCAATATCTTTTTTCAGATTCTTAAAAACAGCCTTAAATAACCTCAACTTTGAATATTCCTTAAACATTGAAATAGTAAAACGCTTACTTAAGATTTATATATATATATATATACACACACACATACACACACTGAGAGAACGATGGAGCAGTTCTCCAAGGGTTGGTAGACAATAACAATTTGTATTTTTAGAGTGAACGGCCTTCACATAGGATAGCATCTCGGAGCACTTCACAATTATGGGTTTGGCTGTCGAGGACTGAGAGGGGAAGTGAGATGATCAATGGGTCAAAGAGGTAAGCTTTCAGGAGATCAAGACAAAAAGTATGAGAGGTTTATGCTTGGCTAATTGGTCTCCTTACCAGCAGGGAAATGGTGAAGGTATTTTGCATGTCCAACAAAAATATTTATTAAAAAATCCTATTCTTCTTGTGAACAGTTTTTTTTTAATCTTTCATATCGGGAGGACATTTCAAACACTTCACTGGATATACTATAAAATGTAATCACTGTGTAATTATAGGCAAACGTGGCAGCCAATTTGCACACATGAAATGAATGATTGATTTTATTTAGGGGATTTGTTGGCCAGGACACCGGGAGAAACTCCCTTCCCTTCTCAAATAGTGCCATGGGATCTTTAACGTTCAATTGAATAGGCAGACGGGACCTCAGTTTAACATCTCATGCAAAGGACAGCAGCTCCAACAATGCAACACATTCCCAGCACTCCAATGGAGTGTAAGTCTAGAGTGTGAGTTTCAAGTCCTGACGTGGGACTTGAACCCACAAACTTATAACTGAAAAAAACAGCTTTTGTTTACTTTTCCTCTCTTTCCTCCATTTAATATAGCGCCTAGAATGTTGAAAACTTCTCACAGCGTTTTACAACTTTTATGTAAAGTGTAGTGCCGAGCAGTGACCCACAAAACAGCCATGCATGAATGACCAATTTTACCCGTAGGATTGTTGGCCAAGACACCAGGGGAAACACTGTCACAGACACGGTAACAGTTAGGGAAGATAATAAATCTTTCCCATCCTCAATCTGAATGAATGCCTAACGGGAAAGTGTAAGTTACTCAGTAATGAGAAAATAGTAGCACTTACTAGCATCTTCCAGGTCCAGATTACTTCTGTGCAGTACATATAAATAGCAAGTTCAGTTTACAATAATGGAATATTATGAAAGAATGCTGCTCGCATCCTCCAAGTTCTGCATCTTTACAGTAGAATTTCAAAATGTCATATGAAAGGCGAGTAAGAGACACCAATAACTGTATGGATATAATTGAGGTCTAGATATTGAACAAGAAGAGATTCAGCAGATCATAAGTCCTCAAAGCTTTGTAAGTATGAGGCAAATTAAGTGATGAAGTGCATTATAAACAGTGAAACTGCTTACATTTGGGACCTAACCCACCACAGATTGATGAGATTAAAGTGACGCCCTGTCTACAAAATCCTGGTTAGGCTTCGTAAAATTGGTGGTCATAAACCATTTAGTGTCAGCCTGGCTCTCACTTGGAGACAGAAGGTTGTGGGTTCAAGTATCATGCCAGGAATTTGAACTCAAGGTCTAGGTTGACACTTCAATTTATTATCCTCCAGATAAATAAAATTGGTCATTCACTTCATGGTTGTTTGTGGGACATTGTTGTTCACAAATTAGCTGCCCATTCGCCTACAACGTAGAAAGTCACTACACTTTACTCTAAATCTTGTGACACACTCTGAGATGTCAAGTCTGAAAAGTAAGATTTATGATTATTATGATTATGAGAGTGGCTGGTATGGAGCACAGGAAAAAAATCACTCAAGCTGCAAGGTCAATATTTTTAAACAAATAAAGAAATGTACAGGATTCAAGAGTTCTCATTACTCACCAGCATTCATGGCTTTAAATTTCTGTTTCAGCTCACGTGGAGTCAGGCGATATTGATCCAGACCATCGTTCCAGTAGATGCGATCAAGAACTTGCAGGTCACCGCCAACCAGCCAGTCACCGCTCTGCATTACCATCTGCAGACCACACGGAGAACCAGATTCGAGAGGTGGGGGGTAGAGCATAGAAGCATATAATATAAGAATTAGATTTCCAACAAGTAAATCCTGGAAACATAGGAATGTACAGGAGAGGGGAGGAAAAATATTGCAGGTCCATCTGGCAGGTCTAAAGGCAAAAACAAATCCATTCACTGCTCCATCTCCCATGGCCCTGAAACAGCTCTCGAATTTGGCTTAAATTCCTGACAAAACCTGCCCTCACCACTCCCCGAGTCGTTCGTTCTACATATTCACCATTTGCAGTGTGAAGTAGCTGAAGCTAAACTGTCTGTTCACCTTCCCTCATTCCCTCTTCTGACTTTGAGTCTTTCCTCCCTTTTGTGATCAGGCTAGTGAGGTTGTTGAACATATTACTAGGATTCAGTTGCTTTAGGACCTTTAGTTTCCTGAATATTTAAAATAAGATCTCCTCCAATTCTTTTCCAAGCACTCTGGGATGTTACCATGCGTGAAGGGCAATATATAAATGCAAGTTGTTGTTTTCCTTTCAAACATCCCATTGTGTCCCCATAACTCAACAGCCTAATTCCAGCTATCGATTTAGTGATAAAACCAACAACAAAATTACACTTGTTTGGGGGCCTTTCATATCAGGATGTCCCAAGGCACTGGACAACCAACGTTTCAGACCCGAGCTTGGGGTCGAGATCGGGGAGGGTGGTGGGCGGAGAAGGAGGGTGACCGAAGGCACGGTTGAAGAGGAGGGTCTTGAAATGGGTCTTGAAGGTGGCAAGGGAGGGGGCGAGGCGGAGGAACTGCGGGATGGAGTTCCGGAGGGTGGGGGCAGAGTGGCAGAAGGCCCACCTGCCAATGGTGGGGCAGGCGAGGCGGGGGACGTGAAGCAGGCGGGAGCATGCTGAGCAAAGGGAGCAGGCAGGTTGGTAGGGGGGTTAGGAGGTCACAGAAGTAAGGGGACAAGGTCATGGAGGGCTTTGAAAGCGAGGACCAAGATCTTGAACTGTATCCTAAAAGGACACATACAGTAGTACAATTTACATTCATATATCATCTTTCACCTCGAGGAGGGGAGGAAATTCTCACATTCATGTCACTCGCAGAATGAGTGATTTTATTACTGTCTATTAAGTCTCGGTTGATTTCCAAATCTCGGTAATCAAAAGGTCCCTCCCTGATTGTAACAGAACCACAAGAACTGTGTGTGGTAGCTAAAGATCTTAATAAGCAAGTAAGAAACGGGTACTGAAAGGTAAAGTTGAAATACTGCAATTCTTACACACAATCCCAATGATGTAAAAGATGCACTGAAGATAACCTCATGTGCACAAATGATTTTTATTTAATCTTTGAACAAATCAAACATTCATTACATTTATTGTAATGAAAATCCATTCATTCTGCTGAGGACATAAATATTCCTTTTACCAGATCTACACCTGCTCCTTTGGAGGTGATTTAAGACTTGTCACACAGCAACATGAAAGCGTTTTCTGTAACCAAATTTTGAAATGTAATTATTTTTCTTACAACATTCTACTCCCCACCTCGCTAAGCTCCTCCTGCTACAAGCTTTATCTAAACCTCTGCAGCCCATATTGATTATAACTCGCATTTATATAGCTTCCTTCATGTAGGGAAGCATCTTGGAGCGCTTTGTTTAGGAGCATAATAACAATAATAATTCTTGCACTTAACATAACGCCTTTCATGTCAAGAAATCAGAGTTTGGAACAGATACAGACATCAAACTGTGATTGGAGATGTTATTTTCAAATCCCACCACGATATGGAGAGGCTGGTGGTGAGGTACGTGGATCAGTCAATATATACAAAAAACGTGTCTCTTATCAGTTTTCTAGCGTCACCTTAATGTAAGGGTGTTCTTTGCAAGTTGTCCCCCACTGACGTGCACACCGTTCCTCTTTCCTGTGCTCAAAAAATTCCGGATTGCGCAGGATAGCCACGCGTTTCCCATGGTAGACCAGCGCAAATGCACTGCAGCCATCCAGTCGCTCTTTGTCCTCAGGCGTAGCTGTCAGCACGATGGGCACTGACAGGTTAATGAGGCCCCCTGCGGAGCAAGACCAGAGGAAAAGTAAATAAAACAAAGGCTTTAAATAATTCCAGCACAGTGGATTTGTGGCGGCATGAGGTGGAAAGGGAGAGAGAGACAGAGGGTGGGGGGGAAGAGAGAGAGAGTATGGGGAGGAAAAAGAGACAGAGTATTTGGGGAAGATTCTGTACCATTCCTTTTACATCTAAAACGACCAAAGGAAATCATATTCGGACAATCAGAATGAATTCAGCTTGAATCGTTTTGGAATTGACGCTCAGCCTTAGACAGAGAATAACATCTATATGAATTACCAACATTCCTCTAATCTACAATAAAAACAACAAGATTACATTTGTGTAGCGCTTTTCACGTCGGGAGGACGTCCCTAGCGGCTGACCATCAAGCTTTGTGAAATCTGCACTGCAATTCTAGAAGAATACTCTTTTCTCACCCGCTCCCACACCCCCCATACTACTGGCTCTCCATCATCCAGAGAATCGAGTTCAAGATCCTCGTTCTCACTTTTAATTCCCTCCACGGTCTTGCCTGATATGACTTTCTAAAATCCTACCAACTCCTCTGCTCAGCAGGCAAAGGGCCTGCTTCATGTCCCCCTACCCACCCTCACCCCATCATCATGAGGGGGAGGTGGAGTCCTGTAGCTCAGTGGTTAGAGCACTCGCTTTGCAAGCGAGAGACCTGAGTTCAATTCCAGACAGGGCGAAACCTTGGGCAAGTTTCCTTACTCCACACGCCTAATAATAATCCCTCCAAAAACCCAAAACAATAATAAGTTGGTCATTTTCAATCTACGACTGTTTGTGGGACATTGCTGTGCGCAATTGGCTGCCGCGTTCGCCCACAAATATAGTCAATTCACTTTACAGTGTGTGTTCTGTGAAGCGCTTTGGGACGTCCTCCCGACCTGAAAAGCGCTATATCAAATGCAAGGATTATTATTATTATTATCATCATCAGCAGTCAGGCTTTCAGCCCATCTGCCCCACTCTCTGGAACTCCATCCCAGTGTCCCTTCCCTCACCTCCTTTCAAGGTCTGTCACAAACTTTTCTCTTTGAAAGCACCTTCGGTCAACACTCCCTGGGTCCCACCCTCCAGCTCAGGTGCAAATCCTCTACTGTCTAGCACCTTGGGATGTCCTCCTGACATGAAAAGCGCTATATAAGTTGTTGTTCTTGTACAACCAATCGTTTGTGAAAAGCAGTTTTGGTGCTATCAGAGTTGGCAGCAGGCCCCACCAGCTGATGCTCACCCAACTGTATCCACACATAGTCCTTTTTCTTTTGAAGTACTCAAGTATCTTTTTTTATAGGCCACTAGACTGAAAACTAGGGGTATTTATAGGCGAGAAAATTATCAGTTTCTTTCCTGGACTACTGCCCCCTCCCCATTAAGGATATTTAGCAGGTCTGGAAACGTTACTCACCCAATATTGTATCAACCAAAAATTTATTTTTTAAAAATCACAGTTTCAGTCTATTCAGAAACGTAAGACAAACACTTGTAAGGGCCAGAAAATTAGTTTAGAAAATGACGCATCCCCCTCTTCCTCCTCCATCTCCCAAAACTAATGTCAGAAATTAGATCAAGAAATAAACAGAAATGTGTGTGGTAAAAGCACAGCAAGAAATAGCATTAACAATTTTTTTTAAATGTTGATACAAACTGATAATAATATCCAATTAAAAAATAAGTGAACAATGAATGTGTGGAATAAACAATTTGGGAATAAACTGTTTAGTGTAAAAGGTTATCCTTGTTGCATGTGTATACATTTTAAAGAATGTAAAAAATACAATCCAACTGGATACTAGTTGGGTTGTATTTTTTTTAACTGAAGCCAAGATGCCTGCACAAGTAATGGAAGCCATCATATTAAAATCACCAGTGTAGGTGTGATTTTGAAAGATGTATTTATTATTCTTTAAATGCTAAACTAGTAAGTGCCAGGCGTGCACTCTGAATTGGCACTGTGAGTGGTAGTGGTTTGTGGACATTTGATTCTGCTATATTTTATTCTTCAGAGGAATGGCATTCAAACATGAAACGTCAAACCTCAAATGAATACGTTAGAGGCTGTGACAGGGCACGGCTCACGCACATTAGTTTTATATTAAAAGCAGAGTTCGAAAGCGATCTCATCTGAATACAATTTCCAACTGAGCTTGCCACCAACTATCCTTCTCCAAGAAACTAAATATTGCTATTTGAAAAGCCTGCAAATCTCAACAATACAAAATGGAACTCTCCACCCACCCCCCACAACAAAATGATTTGTCCATAAGAAAACTAACAAATATCAGATTAAAAACCTAGCTACCTCAACATTAAAAACTAAGCAATCTCACCGAGTCCTGAGTGCCCACCCTGAGCTATTTTAACCTATGAAAACCAGACCACATAAAATCGGTCATACACTTCAGTGACTGTTTGGTGGACATTGCTGTGTGAAAATTGGCTGCCCCATTTGCCTACAAAATGCACTTCGCAGTATGTCTTCACTTTAAGCCTGCAAATCACTTTGAGACTTGCTCCTGACATGAACATTGTCATTCCAAATATCAAATGTAAGGATTATGATTTGATTTAATGAAAAACTCAGGAATACCAGTTACTTCCTTACATCTTACAGCGGGAGAATACGTTCCATCTTTCTCCCAATAATTCCCAAAATTTTATTTTCACATCATATTTCTACCAAAATAGCCCAGACCAATCTCTCTTTCTCTCCCTCAACACAACATTCACTGTCAAATCTAAAGTTAATACAGTCTCATTTTACACCAGCATGGGTGAGGTTTGGAATACACCCTGGATATTTATATGCCTGTCGGTTTCATTCAATGATTTTTCCAAAGTTCCTCACAAGTATAAATTTTAAATGCAATGGTTTTTAAGCTAAGACCATAAAGAATTCTGGGCCCCTGAACCTTGCAATGAATTTTAAGAATTTCTCTTAAAAAAAGATGGTCAGCAGAACGTAAGTAAAACTGGTTCTTGCAACAAAAATGTAGCTCAGTGTCAAGACAGGTCAAAGCTCAGACAAATACAAAGGTGTCTGTAAGACTGAGAAAATGGGAGTGAAATCTGAAAATGAAACACTTGATGATTTACTGCAACAAACAGAGTTGGAGCTTCTATGTTTAATAAATCGTCCTAATAATCTTCAGATGGACTGCTCGAAACTGAAAAGGAGTCAGCACCACGCTTGCCTTCACTTCTCTCATTGGAGTTAAAACGCAGAGGGCTGATTATTTTGGGTGCGTGGTTTCTGGTTACGTTGTAAATCATGTGGGGCTTCAGTGCTATGCTATAAAGAATGCAATTAACTGGTAACTGTGCATTTAATCGTCTTTCCTTCCGACCGTTAACCTTGAAAAGCTCCAATTTGTACAAGTCTGAAGTTTTCAGGTAAGCCTTAGCACATAATGAAATAAAATATCCCAATGGAAACTATGGCGATATATCAAGATTCATGGCAGAGGCTGCCTCCATATCTCCTCTGTAGCTGTTCCTCTTGTGTTTTATTATCAAACAGGCCACCATTGTATAGAGTTGTGAAACAAAACACACACATTAAAAAGCTTTACACAAGGATGCAAAATGGTCATTCATTCAAGCTTTATTTAAGCTTTGACTTTTGCACCAACATCCAGGAGTCCTTACCATCCAGTAAGCAGCCAAAATGAAGGCACTGCAAGTACTCCCGTTCCCTCATGAAACCGTTGAGTGGAGTGGCCCAACCTTCTGCCAGTACCTGTACCCACTGCAAGTCCACCTATGGGGAGGAAGAGGAAAAGGGGAAAAACACAAGTTGCATTCAGCATTTAAAACTGATCAAGCACAATTTGTACAACAGGAGCCATGTGCACATTTCATAATAAAAGTTGTAAACGCATTTATTTTTACTCTCTTGACACTCCTCAATAGCTTAGAAAAAAGTGGCTACAACTTCCTTGGCTCTTGTCAACCTACGCCTAATACTTTCCCGAATTAGGTAAGCAGGATGCGTCTTTCCAGGGAGAGTGCGCATTCCATTCCAACAATCTATCTCTGGGATTTCCACCTATAGGTGAGATGCATGGAATTCTCACCCTGGTTTGCATACTCTTCAGTGTGGTGATGGGTTTCCGCATGTGTCAGACCCCCCAAAAATTGACCCTCCTGGATATACAAAGCAGCACCAACAGAGCCCAAAGTCTAAGATAATCTGAATGGAGAAGACTGTAGGGCAAGCAGTCCAATTACATTAGTATGCACATCTGTTGGCACTACTGTCAGAACTGGCATACATCCAACGAGATGGAAGGATTGTACATCCTCAAATAAATAAAGGAATTTTAAAACTAACATCCTTCAGTAACTTTCCTGAGCCTCGTTCAGGATGAACACATGCTTGTTAAGATCACAAAGTAACCCAACTTTGACAATGATGCAAACTAAATGGTGTACAAATGGATTAAGGAATCCGATTAGTCAGCCTTTGAATGATGCTCCAGTTATCTTTGTGACTAAAGCACATTGAGAGGAAAGCTTTAACTTTAAATTGTGTGCATATTTACCTTTTTATAGCAAATACTGGAAGTCATTAGTGGAAAAGTTTTACGCTGGTTAAGACTGAAAACTTGCAAGCAAATTCAATCCTCATTGTTAATTTAAAACATTGCTGAGTTGCTGGCAGAGGATAGGGACAAAACAGCCAATGGCAGCAGCAACCAGTGGCTGAGTCTGGGAGACAGTGAGGCAGGCTCCAACACGAGTGTTATGTACTGTCACTTAAATTAGACACAGACCCCAAGCATTATCGGGCTTCTAAAAAGGAATCAACGCAGAGAAAACAAGACCTAAAAGTAGTTCTGTGTTATTGGAAGATACAGCAGTTGTGCACAATAGTCAGAACAGAGAGAAAGAGGTGGGGGTGGGGGGGGAGGGGGAGTGAACATCCCATCAGTATAAAAATTATCTGTAATCCTCAAATTCTCCCTTTACAGCCTTCCAAACTAACTTGTTAGCTTCTGTGTGCATGTAAAATATAATACATTTAATGCAGCACCTAACTACGTTATCGAAATGTCTCAAAGGAAGCATGTATTGTCAAGCACTCTGGGATGTCCTCCCAAGCATAAAAGGTGGTATGTCAATGTAAATGTTTATTGTAAAGTGTTTCACAGTGATTGCATTTATAGGCAACCAATTTGCAAAAGGCAATGCCTCATAGAGAGCAATGCTCCATAAACAGCCAAGTTGATTTTTATGTGGGGGATTGTTGGCCAAACCCCGGGAGAAATTCTTTTCTCGTTTTGACTAGTGCCATAGGATCTTTAACATTCACTTGAATGGGCAGACTGGAATCTCAGTTTAATATCTCATCCGAAGGTATGCACCTTCCACAATGAAGCACTGCCCTAGCACTGGCATGTCAGCCAAGAATATATGCTAGACACATAATGCTGTTTTGTCTGTATGCTCTGCCAAGAACTATAGCAATGTTTGAAATTAGTGTTGAGGAGTGAACTTTTTGTCTTAACCAAGGTAATGCTGGCTCACTAACAATTTTCAGCATTCGCTATAATAGGTGTGTGTGTGTGGGGGGTGTCTGTGTGTGAAGGGGACTGATATTGATACAACAGGGCCTCACAGAGAATGATTCAGCGTTTGATTTTAAAATGGAAATCAAGTAGCTTCGGGAATAAATCGTACCTTGTGGGGGCTGCAATTCCATTTTCGCTATTTATACTCCACATTTGGCAGTAAATTGCTGCTGCTTTGGCACCCAAACTGATTGTGGAAATAGGCTTGTGTGCCATCAAGAAGACTGCGATTCTCACTCGCAGTGTAAACCTGGCAACTGCTAATCTCACTGGGGCTCGATCCCCCCATCCACCTCCCCACAGGTCCATTCAAACCTCTCAACTATGAACTGAGACCTGACAGCTTTTGAGTAATAGGATTAGAAAAGAATTAGATAATTTTGGTTGTTTTTCTTTCCGGATCCAATTGCAAGTGACACAGAGCAGGCAGTATAAGCCTGGCTTTCTGCTATACATCACTGTACTGCCAGCAGCACAATGGCTTCACTCTCAGGAATATAATGCAGAATAAAACATTCTGGATTTGAGCTGCCCCGAGGGTTCAGCTGGCAAAGTCTCTGCCCAGTGTCAATCTATGCCATGCAGATTAGAAAGATCCAAAACTTAATTAAAGGTCACCACTGTGTTACCTTGTCTCAAATGAAACAGTATTGGGTGCTACTATTGGCCTCAGGGACTCTGGCTGGGGGAAGGCATTGGTGGGGGTGGTGGTAAGATGCCAGGTTTCCCATTCTTGATCCCTGTCCAGTGATCACTGCTAGAAAATGTGCATAAGTAGACTGGACTCAGCTGTGATGCCTCCCCACAGTTGAATAATCTGGCTCACATGTGAAGAATGTCCATATGGTGAAGCTACCCTCAGTGTTTTGCAAGAGCATCCTAGCCCGAATCAGCACGTCCATAAGGAGGAGAGGAAAATCAGACAAGTTATTATAAACAGTTTGTACAATCGAGTTGGTAAACATTATGATATGTGGAGTTTGTGCTACACAGCAGATCTGCTCCAAGAAGTTGAAGGATCTCACAAGCAACCAATGATCAAAACCTTCCAAGTGGAACAATATAGCCCCTTAACAATGCAGATCCTTAAGCAACAATTCAACAATCAATTGATTGTAATCCTGAATCCATTTTAGTTCACAGCTGTGTGTCAACCTAGCTCGCCTCTGAATCAGACGGTTGTGGGTTCAAGCCACATGTCAGGAATCATCAATGTCTAAAGTGACAAAGTCGGAGGTGCCAGCCTTCAGATGAAAGGTTAAACCGAGGTCCCGTCTGCCTGCCTGTTCACGTGGACTTTAAAGATCCCAGGGCACTACACAAAAAGAGAAGGGCGTTTCTCTCTCCCAGTGTCTTGGCCAACCAATTCCCTAAATAAAATTGGTCACTCACTCCATGGCTGTTTTGGGGATATTGCTGTGTGCAACTGGCTGCCGCGTTTGCCCAGTCAATCCACATTACAATAGATTTTGTGAAGCACTTTGAGACGTCTCAATGGCCTGATAAAGAGCTATATTAAATGCAAGGATTATTATCCTGAAGTTGTGCAGTGTTGATCTCACTGGTTCTGGAGCACAGATCCCTTGCGTTTCAGAGCTGTTGAGTCAATTCAATCATTCTGATGCAGGATGCTTCTTTTCTTCTTAAAAAAAACACAGGTGTCATCATGTCAAAGATAACCCCAGTCAACAAACTTGCAGGCAGTCTATACTGGGAGCAGCCATTACGCAGTATGTAACCTGGGCCAAGCAATAACCCTTTCAGTCAACTAACCCACTTCCATCAGGTGACAGAATATCTGCTGCAAATGTGATACTTCTGGAAGTGGAAATAACGCAGAGACAAAGTGCACCCTTGAATGACTGAAAGACCACCGACCGATAATTCATCAACTGCACAGTGTCTTTCAATGCACAGCTCCACCTTGCGAGTGCCAATTTTCCTACAGTGTGAAATTGCACCTGTAAACATTGAGCAGGTCAAATAGAAAGAGCCCCCTGGAAGTTGCAGCTCATACCTTATTAATTTCCAGTGCTGGCAAGGTCTCTGCGTCGGCTTTGACAAGATCAAGCTTGTTCTCTGGGACAAACAGTTCCTTTATTTCAGCGTAGGCATCAACTGGAACGATATCCTGTATGCAATTAATATGAAATGGTCAGGAAAACAAAACAGAAAAAAGCCATAAATTATAAAGCAAAAGACACTTGATCTGAGTTTGCAGGAACATTACAAAGGATATCTGGAAGGATTCTTCGGGGGAAAGGGGAAAGAGAAAGAAACAATTTAAAACAGAACAGTTCTACAGTGCCACCTTGTGCTCATAATCAGCATGAACATGCAATGCAGTCAGAGAGTAAACACAAAATAATAACTAGTGATAATCCTTACATTTTGATATATAGAACCTTTCACTTCAGGAGGGAGGGCTCAAAGCACTTTCCAGGATATATTGTGAAGTGTATCGACTGTGTACTTTTGCTAATTCAGCAGCTAATTTTGCACAAGACAATGTCCCACCAATAGCCATGAAATGAAAAACCAATTTTATTTGGGGGATTGTTGGCCAAGACACCAGGAGAAACTCCCTTCTTTTTTCGAATAGTGCCATGGGATCTTTAAAGTCCTCCTGGACAGGCAGAAGGGACTTCAATTTAATGTCTCATCCGAAGGACGGCACCTCCGACAATGCCGCACATCCCGAGAGCACTGCACTGGTGCGATAGAGTCAAAGTTCCAAAGTGGGCCTTGAGTGCTATAGGTGGCAACAGCACCCCTGGTACATGGTTGGGGGGGAGAAGATGGGGGAAATAAAATCAGTCAGTGGGCCCACTACTCATCAGTGGACCAGCGAACTCTTCCTCCATCGGATTCAGCCAGTGTTATAAGTATAAACGGATGATGTGTTTAAAAGAGGTTTTAATGATTCATAGGAAGTCGTGAAATGTTCTCAGGCACTTCCCACCACAGGGAGGAATTAACTAACTAACACCCTCCTTGAGCTTCCTCCTTGTCACATTCTACTCAACTCATGGAGCACACAAGTCAATTCACTTTGCAATATATTCTGTGAAGCGCTTTGAGATGTCTCGAAGACGTGATAAGGCGCTATATCAAATGCAAGGTTTATTATTATGCCTCCTCTTATTTCTATGCACTGCCTTTTATTTTATTTTTGCTTTACTGTATGGTACTTCAGCAGCAACAGCAACTTGCACTTATACAGTACCCAACACGTGGGATGTCTCAAGAGCATTTTACAAAGAAGGGATCAGGTGCTGAGTAGGTGAGAGGCGGGTGGGGCAAGGGAAGAAGGTGGTGACCATAGGCATGGCCATTGAGGGAGGTTTTAAAGCAGGATGTAAAGGACAGATTGTGAGACAGATGGAATTTCAGAAGTCAGGGAATTAGAATCAGAAAATCTCTGTCATCTTTCAACTTGATTATACAGGTCTTACCTAAGTTTGACTCTGCTAGGAATAGAAAATACACTTGTAAAAAGAGATTTTTTCCTCGTTTCAAAAGAGCCCAACAGCTTCTGTTTTTCTTTTTTAATTTGTGCATCATACATCCTTTGGATGAGATGTTGAACCGAGGTCCTGTCTGCCTATTCAAGTGGATGTTAAAGATTCCATGGCACTATTCAAAAAGAGAAGGGAGTTTCTCCCAGTCTCCCATATAAAATTGGACAATCACTCCACGGTTGTTGGGGGGACATTGCTGTGCACAAATGGCCTGACGCGATTGTCCACAAACTACATAACTCCACATCATTTGACAGTATATCCTGCAAAGTGCTTCGATGTGTCTTGACGATGTGATAAGGCGCTGCATTAAATGCAAGCTTATTATTATATTTCATTAAAAAAAGGGTGTTGGACATGACAAACTACGATTCAACTGACACCCCTAAGTCTCCTGCAATCGTACAGGCAAGGGTGAAATGTGATGTCAAACCAGAATGGCTTCATTGTTAGAAACCAAGTAAAAGCAAGTCACCGGCGGGAATCTTAACCGCTTCATTGTTATGGAGAAAGTCTCCATTCACTAAGCCAAACTTAGGCATAAATGGACTCTTACCCTTTCCTGAAGCAGTTCAACCACTTGCTGGACACATTCATTTACAGAACACACATCTGTCTTCAGCACCAGCTCGGGAGCTTCTGGCTTCTCATACTCTGAGTCAATACCCGTGAACCCTGCAAAAATGTCATTTGGTACCTTTAGCTAGAGACAATTACTGTGCAATTTACTAAAAAGGCCTTTGCTAGCCATAATGTATCTGACCAAACTAAGTGATTTAACCAGCAGAGCTGCAGTGGATTTAATCACAATTTCCTCCATCTCTAGCCCTCAGTCGTTAGCCATGATTTGTTAAACATTATCAAAATATTATCCAAATACAGTAGACCCCAGAAAAGCCCCCCCCCCCCCCCCCCACTCAGCAACAGGCAAGCCATTCAATTAACTTTACCAACACAGAAAAACACTCAAAGACCACCTTTTTGTTGGGCTTATATACTATACATAGATATATAAATAAAAAACACAGATGTTGATTTTGTTCTACTCGCTCAGGAAGCTGTCATGGCAGCAAAAGCAATACGAGAAAAACGGCAGTGCAGAGAAGTATAAACAGAAAGCATATGTACTCCATGAATGGGGAAAGAAATTAGAAGTGGAAGTTCAAAAAGATCAAGGCGTGTGAGCTGACTCATCTTTCACATGTCCAAAGTGTGCGAGGCACCAGCCACCAAAGCAAACCGAGTGCTGGGCTACATTAACAAATCAGCTGGTCTCAAATCCCCAGATGTTTTCACTGTGAGTTCAAAGTCCCGACATGGGGCTTGAACCCAGAACCTTCTGACTTAAGAGGCGAGAGTGCTACCAAATGAACCTGGCTTAGCAAAATAAAGACCCCAATGTCCTTCAGTGCTTCCAGGTGTTGGGTAACAATTTAACCAATTTCTTATGTTCACATAGATTCTTCCTTGAAGTCTGCAACACAGAAGGTACACTTCAAAATGTTCTCTTTTTTTTTGAGCCAAGGATATGGGGGACCGAGCAAGAGAACAGGTTTACATTGGCTCATGGGAAGAAAAGCTGGGATAATCTTCAGCTGGGATCATTAGGAATCTTTTTGCTCAGCAACATTAAGGGCATCCATGCAAAATGTTTTTTTTTAAAAAAGTTAAAATATTTAAAACCAGAATAAATTAGAAGCAAGAAGGACCCGAGACTGTCAAATAACCACAGTTGGGAAACAAAATTGGAAAGATTAAGAGAGCTGCTGTGAACTAATAAAATAGTGGCGCAGGCTCAATACACCAACTAGTCAATTCCAGTTCCTAGGAGTCTTTTCCTCTCCCCACTGTACACATGTAAATGACAATACTCACACCCATATACACACCAATGCCCTCAGGACACTTACCTTTGATCTCTCCAGCTCTGGCCTTCTTGTACAGTCCCTTTGCATCCCTTTTCTCACAAACGTGCAATGGGGCATCAACAAATATTTCAAAGAAGGGTAGGCCAGCATCTTCATGGATATTTCTGCCATTCTTTCGATCCTGCCCGAGAGAAAGGTGACCTTACAGAAGCTAGAAATGTGCAGTATTCACAAAGCTAACCATCGATTCCTGCATGAATAGACCTGATAAATAATTGGTATGAGTTGAATGGTGATGGAGAGATACGCAAATGCTAAGGTGAATTAAAAAGCCCAGCTTTTATGATGTAAAACTTCTTTGAATTATTTTTATATTTTTTTCTCCACTTGGGTCACACCTTACTGTATAACTCCAAACAAATGATAAGATTCAACAAATCAATAATGTTTCCAATGGAAAGTAGCGTGGTGTAACCCCTTACCTTAGTATAAGGAGAAATAAAACTGGCAAGGCACACAAGTCCAGCATCTGCAAAGAGCTTAGCTACTTCAGCAATGCGCCGAATGTTCTCCTCTCGATCGCCCGGGCTAAAGCCGAGGTTTTTGTTCAGACCCTGGCGAATGTTGTCACCGTCCAGAGTGTAGCAGGGTATGCCATGGCAAACTAAGTACTCCTCCAAGGCCATGCTCACAGTGGTCTTGCCAGCTCCGGACAGGCCTGTTAATCATTATTAAAGCATTTTATAATGATTAATGGGTTTACTGCCAGCCTGTCCCTCTTACACTGTCTCCTGCCACTTACAGGGGTATAGCCTCTGATGACAGAGATGCAATAGGAACAAAGTGGTGTTTCCAGTGATGGGGAGGAGGCCTTCATCCCTCCTCCGGGGGAAACAGAACCCAGCACAGCAAGACAAACAGCTGCCAGATTTCTCTAGGTAGAGGTGAGCTGAGCTGTCAGCCTGAGGTATTTGGGAATTGCTAGCTTGTGCTGATATCCCTCCAATTTAATATGACTTATGCAAAGTATAAGAATATAAACTTGCATAGAATATAAACACTTGAATGGGATGTACGGCTTTAGCCAATTGTATGATTTATGCACATCAGATGGTAAGGTGAATTAAAAAGCCCAGCTTTTATGATATAAAGCTTCCTTGAATTACTTTTTTCCCACGGGTTGCGAGTTTTACTGTTTAAGGTAAGAGTTGCCAATTGTAACAGAGAATTACTCATGGGTACATACGTAAACAAGCTAGCTGTGCTTGACACTGTCCCTGAAAAACAGCGCCAATTCCCAGGATGAAACACCTCAGCTGGTTGAAAACAAGAATTGGCAATAAAACTTCTGACATGTATTGCAACAAGCATCAAGGGACCAGCAGGTGGGAGGGTTGCACAGAAACAAGGCTTACTGTGGAAAGTCACTACTCCCCTTACAGCCTCTTAAACAAAATTATATTTATACACTCCCGATGGCTGAATGCATAAAGGCTTCCTCAATCCCCATTGTGTTCCTACAGATCAGGGGCTGGGGCGGGCAGATAACCACAGAATAGTCAGGCTCGATGGCGTGAATAGCCTTTTCCAATCTAATCTTCTTACCTCTGAACTTTTAAAAAGAACACTAGCAAACCAGTTGGTTGTTTGGATGGAGCTTTTGGAGGATGGGGTAGGGTGGGAGGAAGGGGAATGCAGACAAGCAAGATCTGTATGAAAGAAGCACAGCTAGCTGCTGTGTGAACATTTAAAGCAAACAGAAGCTCAGTGTTTCAGTAGTCAATGGTTTTCTGTGGATCCCTTTGCGATGTACCGTATAATAATAATCCTTGATATGCCATGTTTCACGTCTGGAGGACGTCTCAAAGCATTTCACAGTAAAGTGTAGTGACTGTATTTTGTGGACAAACCCAGGAGCCAATTTGCATACAGCAATTTCCCACAAACAGCCATGAAGTGAATGTTCAATTTTATTTGGGGGATTGTTGGCCAAGACACCGAAATTTTTTTCCTTCACATTGAGTAATGATTTGGGATCTTTAAAGCCCAACTGATTATGCAGGAGTGACTCTAGGTTTAACATCTCATCCAAAATCAGCACCACCAAAAATGCAGTGGTAATATTCATAGAGGACACAATGTTTGTCACTATACTTTACAGTATATCCTGTGAAGCACTTTGACATCCTCCCAACATGAAAGCCACAATATTAAACTTAAAGACTATTATAATAAACTCTCTGCCTCTTCCTCAACCCCTAATTGTTGATTTAGTTAGTGCTTAGAAACATTTCTGCAGTAAGTTACCTGTAAGCCAGACAGTACAACCACGAAAGCCACTTCTGGTTCCTACAACCTGCCCACGCTTGTTCCTGCTGACATGATGAGCCTGAAAGGTCACGTTCGTTGCCCTCTGTTTCCCCTGCAAGATGCAAAAGACAGTGTTTAGATATCTCATGACCACAAGACAGCTTCAGATGAAGAAGGCCCTTTGTCCCATTTGATCTCATCCTTCCAGATCACCCACTCCACCGTCAACAGCAACAAATTGTATTTATATAGCGCCCCTCAAGCAGGGTAACGTTTCAGAGCGCTTGGCAGTGGCAGAGTAAGAGGCCAGAGCCAATCGAGTGGAGATACTCTACTGTAACTCCCATTATAGCATCAAGCTGATTTTTTGAGTCCAGTAGTGTATTGGTTATAGCACTCGCTTCACAAGGTAGAGGATCCAGGTTTAATTCTGGGCAGGGCAATACCTTAGGTAAGTTTCTTTACTCCACATGCCTGTTTACCTAGCAGCAAGTAGGAACCTTGTTGTTATTTGATTGGCAGAATGCTCTCTGGGGTTAATAAACCCTTCAAAAAAAAGTTTTTAAAATAATAGTATGGTCACTTCAATCCATGACTGTTTGTGGACACTGCTGTGTGCAATTGGCTGCTGCGTTCGTCCACAAAATGATCAATTAACTTTCCAGTATATTCTGTGAAACGCTTTGAGATGTCTCGAAGACGTGATAAGGAGCGATATTAAATGCAAGGATTAATATTATTATTTAAGATGTTCTCCCAGTGTGAAATGTGTAAATTGCTGTAGTCCTGACTGAGAAAGGCAGTATCTCAGCCAACCCCTTTAGCTATTGTGTCAAACACATCTAGACCAGAGGCTGGGCTGGCAATGCACTGCAACATCTCTACTACTTAATGTCACATGCCGAAAATAAAGCTTCCATTGTACAGAATGCATTGATAAAAAGCTCCAACAAAAGAGTCAATTCAGCCTTTCCAAAATTTTCCTGTGCGGGGGGGAATCACAAGCTATGGATTCAGAGTTCAGACTGGAGTGTCGTTTGCCTTTCTCAGTTTGGTCGTGCAGCAAGAGTTTTGAAGCAAAACTTGGTGATCACCGCAACCCCCAATACTGAAAAGAACTAACAATTGGGACTGAACTCTTCTCTTTTTGAATAGTGCCATGGGATCCTTAACGTCCATCTGAACAGGCAGACAGGATTTGGGTTATCGTCTCACCTGAAGGACAGCACCTCTGACAATGCAACTCCCAACACACCCCCAGCCCATTGGAGATTGCACATTGGAGTACCCAACACAAACAACCAGGAACTTCAAAGTCCAATGTGGAGCCTGAACCAACAGTCTTCTGACTCAAAAGCATAAGTGCTCCTCACTGAACACATAAGCCACGTACTCATTATTTAATTTGCAACCTCTTTTCATAAATTTTCTTAAATGGAATTCATTAATCAGAGATGGGACCTGTGGGCTCAACAACAGAAGAAAAATTAAAAGAAGCTTCCTGACCTCAACCTCAGGGTCTTCATTACAACTGCATCAGTTTGCAGCACATACCACCTTCATCTTCAACCCCCAGGCACATAAGAAATAGGAGCAGGAGTAGGCCATTCAGCCCCTCGAGCCTGCCCCGCCATTTGATAAGATCATGGCTGATCTTCTAACCTAATTCCATTTACCCACCTATCCCCATATCCCTTAATCCAGGAGTGGGCAAAATACGGCACGAGGGCCATATCCGGCCCACCAAATGATTCTATCCGGCCCGTCATTGTTAAATTTTATAAAGTTATAGTTTTTATAAAGTTATAAAGTTTAAAAAGTTATAATTTGCTCAGTCCCAGAATGTCCCACAAAATTTCGCATTTGAATCAGACCAGGAACATCAGACCAATCACTCTGCTTAGTTGTGCGTACGCTCAAGTGTTGAATCAGGCTGACGTCAGAAATGTACAGATCAGAAAAATTTTCAAACACGTGCACGCGGCAACCGCGGCAAAACTTTTCACTGAAGAGGACGGTAATTCAAAATGAGTTTATCAAAGAAGCGGAAAGTGGACGCTGAAGGTCAAATATTCAACAAAGAATGGACTTCTAAATTTTTTTTAAACCAGTGTGGGTGGAAGAGCTGTGTGCTTAATTTGCAAAGAAAATGTGGCAGTGCTCAAAGACTACAACTTGGATCGCCATTTTGAGAGCAAATATAATAATGTTTCTGCCGAAGAAAAAGGAAGGAAAGTTGATGAGATGGTTGTTCAAATGCAAAAAGAGCTAGGCATTTTCACAAAACAATTTGCATCCCAGGATGAGATTACAAGAGTGAGTTACTTGATTACACACAAAATCACCAAGAACAGCAAACCATTCTCTGAAGGAGAATTTATAAAGAATTGTATGGTTGATTCTGCCTCGATTTTATGCCCAGACAAGAAAAACTGTTCAAGAACGTTAGCTTGTCAAGGCGAACTATTGTGAGACATGTCGAAGATATTTCTGAGAACCTGTATCTGCATTTACAAAATAAAGTAAGCAATTTTGCATGTTTTTCACTGGCACTCAATGAGAGTTATGATGTCAAAGACACAGCCCAGTTGATAATTTTTATTCGAGGTATCACCAAACATTTTGAGCTCACAGAAGAATTGGCATCAATGCAGTCAATGAAAGATACGACAACTGGAGGAGACTTTTTTGGAGGAGGTAAATAAGTGTATCTTAAAATTAGGAGTGGAGTGGAAAAAATTGGTGAATGTGACCACCGATGGAAGCCCAAATATGACAGGCAAAAATGCTGGGTTACTGAAAAGAAATCAAGATCAAGTCAAAGAAACAAATCCAGAACAGAATATTGTTTTTCTACACCGCATTATCCACCAAGAGGTCCTCTGTAAGAGTGTTCTAAAACTAAGCACTGTCATGGACACAGTTACGAAAGTGGTCAACTACATTTGAGCAAGAGGATTAAACCACAGGCAATTTGTAACTCTGCTTGAGGAATTTGAATCCGAGCACACGGATGTTCTGTATCACACGAATGTAAGATGGTTTAGTTTAGGAAAGGTCTTGAAAAGAGTGTGGGAACTGAGAGCAGAGATTGATTTAATTTTGGACATGAAACAAAAAGATTCGGATTTCCCACAGCTGAATGATGCGAATTGGCTCTCTGATTTCGCATTTGCCGTTGATATCATGAGCCACATGAATGAACTGAATTCAAAACTGCAACAGAAGGGGGCCTTTGTGCAAGATTTGTATTGCAGTGGCAAGTCATTTATGATGAAATTATTTATTTTATCACGTCAGATAGGAAACAGGCAGATCGCTCACTTTCCAACTTTGCAGCAGATTACTGTTTGCGATCAAAGCCTTAAAAAGTATACTTCGTCGCTACTTGACTTACATGCCAAATTTTCTCGCCGATTCCGGGATTTCAATTTGATCGAAAATGACCTATCTTTGGTCTCTTCACCTTTCTCATTTGATGTTGACAAAGCCCCATTTGACCTACAACTCAAGCTTATTGACCTGCAATGTGATCCATTTGCGGAGCAATTCAAATCAGTGCCGCTCCCAGTTTTTACGCCTCTCTTAATAAATATACCTTTCCAAAGGCTCCAACACTGTCTTACACCGCAGGCCACCGCAACCCTCATACACGCCTACATTACATCGAGGCTCAACTATGCAAACTCACTGCTTGTCGGCCTCCCCAACTCCTCCCTCCACTGGCTGCAGATCATCCAGAACTCTGCAGCCGGGTCCTCTCCCACACCAGGGTCCGCGACCCTATCAATCCCATCCTTGCCCAACAGCTCTGGCTTCCTTTCACACAGAGGATACAGTTCAAGATCCTGGTCCTCACCTTGAAAGCCCTCCATGGTCTTGATCTCCCCTACCTCTCTGACCTCCTAAGCCCCTACCACCCTGTTCGCTCCCTCTGCTCAGCAGACTCCGGCCTGCTTCATGTCCCCTGCCTCGCTCGCCCCACTATCAGCGGGTGGGCCTTCCTCCACTCTGCACCCACCCTCTGGAACTCCACCCCACAGTCCTTCCGTTTCGCCCCCTCCCTCGCCACTTTCAAGACCTACCTCTTTGACCGTGCTTTTGATCTCCGTGCTTCCCCCCCATGCCCTTCACCCTCCCCCACCCCGACCCCCAGCTCAGGTTCATAACTTGTCTGTCCAGCGCCTTGGGACGTCCTCCCAATGTAAAAGGCGCTATACAAATGTAATTTTGTTGTTTTTTGCTGTTGTAGGTGCGGTCTCATCAAGGCCCTGTACAATTGCAGCAAGACTTCCCTACTCTTGTACTCCAACCTTTTTGAAATATGCGCCTTTCTAATTGCTTGCTGTACCTGCATACTAACTTTCTGTGATTGGTGTACAAGGTCATCTAATTCCCTCTGAATACTAACACTACCTAGTCTCTTCCCCTCTAGAAAATAATCTGCTTTTCTATTTTTTTCTACCTAGGCAAATAACTTCCCCACATTATACTCCATCTGCCACCTTCTTGACCTGTCTATGTCCCTTTGCATCCTTCCTGTGTCCTCCTCACAGTTTACTTTACCACCTAGCTTGGTATCGTCCACAAATTTATATACATTGGGCGCATTGCTTGCATAAGTCCATACTATCAACCAGAGATATAGTTGGTCTGGGGATTTGAAGAAATTAAAGATGACATGCATACAATGCAAAAATTATCCAAAGCCTTGATAATAAGATTGTGGTCACACCACATTCTGGAAAGGTAATTTCTCACCATGCTCCCCATTCGTGGATCCATTGCCTCGCCCAACACCACTTTGTAATCCTGTGCTTTGCAAAAAAACTGGTTAAACAGAGCATAGGTTGATTTAGATGAAGAATGCCCTTCAGCCAATCTGGTCTCATCCTTCCCAAATACTCATCCACCTGTCCTCCCATCCATCAAGCTGTTTCTTAAACAAGTTCAGCAGCCAGATCTCAACCACAGGTTCCAGTCATTATTACCCTCCAAGTAAATAAAACTCTTCCTTGTGTCTGTCCTGCAATTGCCCTTTTTCAACCTTAAACTTGTGTCCTCGTGTTCTGCTATTTCAGTGGATCCGAAAGTCCTGACTGAGTTTACTTTTTCAATCCCACAAGGTCCCCTCTGAGACATCTCCTTTCAAGACTGAAGAGTCCAAGCTATGTCTGATCGCTGCTCTTGGCTCATTCCTCTAGAAATCATCCTTGTTGTCCTCCACTTCTAGAGCCTCAGCAGTTCCCTTATGTCACAATGACCAGAACTGTACTCAGTTCTCCAGAGCGGCCTCTGATCAAAGCACTGTGCAGCCCGAGTATGACATCTGGAGGTCTAAACTCAATGATTGGGCAATGTAGCACAAAAAACAAGCATCCTGTTTACCTTGTTTATTGCATTGTTTAAATTGCATTGTATTGCTGGCCTCACGCTGTTAAAATGGTGAACCATGAGTCAGTTAACACCTCTCGATCTTGTTCAGCTTCCAGCTTCCCGAGTTCTATCCCACGTGTGGAGTACATAGGCTTCCTAATCTTACCTCCTATACGCAGTATCCTGTATTTACATGCATTGAACTTCATTTGCCAGTTATCAGTCTAAGAGAGGTACCAATTTCAGAATTAAAATACAAAGAGATTACCACCAATACAGCATTTGCCTGCTTAACTCCTCGGGGAAATCTTTGAGCTCGGCCTGCTTTTGCCCACCCACACAGAATAATAAGCTCAGCAATGAATTTGAGGAGCAGACGGCAGCATTCCTGGCTGACCTACAAGCCACATGTGTATATAAAGCAGCTGAAGAATCAGTTTAATCCTCCGCCACAATCAACCCCCTGTTTCACTGGCTCCAGACAAGTCAGTGCTGTTTGTTCA